GGGTTTCCTGTGGGTATGGTATACGTCTTGCAATCTGTTCTCCGTATTGGGTATATGGCATTCACTCCCATCTTCAACTCGTTCAAGTGTTGAAGTTGTACGGTTGGGCTTACTTTCACAGCACGAACTTTCAGATTGGCACTTTGAACCGAATTTTGTGATCGGGGTTTGTCTCTCCCGACATCAAAGCGAATGCTGGGGTGGAAGGRTTTAGTTTTATGGTGACGTCCACATGATTTAGGAGAAGGTGATCGTTGAACATTAGATCACAATGTAATCTACCCCACARATCTACAATATAACTTTTTTCAGTGAACGAATAGCGGGTCTTGAGTCCGTCATTTGCTCCAGGCGATGTTGGGTCGGTCTCATCCATCGCTCCTGCTGTGTCTTTATAATAAAGACCTGCAGTAAGATGGGACTTCTTGGCTGACAATCCATAATTCAAGACCGTTTCCAGCATACTCTTATAGCTATACGTTCCTGTTGATTGCGTGACTTGAATACCATTGAGAAAAACATCCACTYGTTTGAACAGACTTTGCAAGAAATTGTTGACTGGTGCTACTTTTTCATCAGTCGTAAGATTCGAACCATTTGCCTTGGTGATTTTCACTTTGATAAACAGCATGGTCTTTGCTAGATCCAAGTAATTTTCAGATCCTGTAATCCCGTGGAGGATATTGAGGATATCGGTTGATATTCTATYCACTGACTCTTATCAATAGCCACTTGAGTGGGTGGTATTTTGAATAAATCCAGTTCACTTTTCGTACACGGAGTGGAGTGAGGGTGTACAAATGCCATATTTAAGGCTCGAAAATGTCTTCGTTCGCGAGAACTATCTTAGCTCTTTTCGCTTTGCYAGCTCGTGGTAAAGTGATTTTTTTCTGTGAAGTCTTTCGTTTTAGACTCTTTTTCTGTCTTGATCTGCCACTTCCTACTTGAGAGGTGATCTTATCAAAGGCTTGCCGTTTCATGGTCTGTGCTGTTTGCTGTACTCTTGCTTTAGCAGAATCTTTTCAAACAAGTCTTAGCACCTTCTTGTAATAATGGTAAGGCTTTCCTTGCTAGGGATTGAAAAAAGGAACMAAGTCCATATCCTCTCTGAAAAGGTTCACCGTGAAACACCATCATTTGTCCTCCTTGCTGTTTTCTCATTTTACTGAAAATAGAGCGGTCGACGAAGTCTAAAGCTCAATGTTATCACCACGCGTCCACGTTCAAATGGTACTTTTTTCCTGTGTCATCCGTTATAACGACTTCTATAGTCTAAAATTCTTTCGTGGCTAAAGGGAGATATTGGGGATTTTCATAGTCGATCGTAATGATTTCTCCGTCTTTGCCTCGAGTTGGAATAATACGTAATAGAGGGACGTCACCGACAATTTGGCTTTCGACGATGTTTAAGTAAACATACAGTGATTGAAGGCCAATATTCAAATTACTCACAAAATGTCCTTCGGTCGTCTTGCCTAGGATGACATCCTTACCAAATCCTAGGATCACTCCGAGATCATTTTCAAAACTTAGTTTTCTTCCAGCACCCAACACCACTGTCACTTTCTGTGATCGATTATCCAACTCGAGGGAAATCTCGGTTACTCCATCATCTGTGATTGCTTTGTTAATGGCACTGACGACGTCAGCAACTGATGTGTAATGACCAACTGCAATCACACCGACATCCCTGACTCCAATACCCCCGTCGTAATAAAACTTCCGGTTTTCCTTTCTTATGCTAAACCACGTGTGAGGAAAGGTGATGGAAGCCAGTTCAACATCCCAAGCCCCCACCAAATCCATGCGCTTGGGTTGTTTCACTTTATATTCAGTAAGAGAGTTGTTTGGATATACATCCATAGAACTATTACTTGGGACAGTAATGYATAACTGACTTGTCGTCATGATTGTTTGGAGTGGAATGAATACACTACACAAAACATTTGATTTTATAAACTTTATTCAATGTCACTACTCAAGACCCAGCTATTATACTTGAAAAAATACCAATATTACAGTGCATTGCAGTTCGCAATCATGGATATCGAAGGTATGATAATCCTTAGTTTCTACGTGCAGATATACTATTATTATTTAATAAGCAATACACCTCGTTACTGCAGCGGAAAATGCACGCGAATTTTGAAAGTCTTTTAGTGATGCAAGAAGATGCAATTTTACGCATATTTTCCTAKAAAGGGAACCTTATATTTAAACGATCTATTTAATGGTGAACATGAAAGAAATCGGGTTATTTTCTCGCTATACGCAAACACTGTCCACTCATCACTGTCAAGTTTGATCTGGTAGTGGACACGTACTTTCCATAATAAKCTTATAATTATTTAAACTAACTGATRTTATTAAAACTCAAAATATAAGCTTATAAGCTTTAACAGAAAATCCACAAGAAATTATAAATGATTCCATATCTTAATTGCTAGCTTAAGCTTACCCTGGTCCCAGAGGTTTCTCGTAGTTTTTTCTCTGTGACTTTTTTTTCGACTCATTAATTGTCGCCACTTCGCGGCGAATTTCACACAGAAAAAAACTACGAGAAACCACTGGGACCACGGTAGCTTAAGGTAGCTCCATATAGTTAAAAGGCTTTTGAGGTACATGTTACATATTGCTGTACTAATATTAGTAAATCAAGGTTTCAGTTCTTACAAAATAATATCACGTGACGGGTSGCCATAGCAACGTAACATTAGTCTTAATTGAGGCTTTTTTGTATTAAAAGAAATTAAAGCTCGAGTTTTTCGCGGTGAATTTTTTTCTAAATATATTAAGTGAAATCATACTACTTAYTTCATCATTTGACACCGCGACTTAAGTATCCCAACGATAGAACCTTAGATTTAACGCAATTTTTCACAATTAAAAACATTCTGTCGTTAGAACTCGCTAAATATTTTGCAAGCTGATTGCTTTTGATATCGAAAAAACACTGTAAAAATTTGAAGACATTTTACCGCCAAATTTCCGAGATTTTTAATTTCAAAAATCGCGCACAAAAATAAGTCAATTACGTCATCAAAATAAAATTTCTACAAGATCCGTATTTGCGTATAGGTAGGTAGGTAAAACTTTATTTAAACACGCTTGCCCCGTCAACTAAAGCT